GGGGGGGAAGCCCACAAAACCACCACATAACCACCAAAAAAACCCCAAAACACCCACTGCAGAGCATCATCCCTTTAAGTTTACTAAAGTTAGCTAAATTTGAGATTTTCAGCACTGTCATTAACACAATGTACACTGTGGTGTGAAATCAGGTGAAATATCAAAGCCTTTTTTTTCCTCCAGAACACAACACTAATAGAAACATTAGGGTATTACATAACCTAAGCACAAAATAGCTCCTAATCATAACATTGAGTTTATTTCTGTAAAGCAACTTTAACCCTTCAAGCTTTACATGTCATAAAATTAATGAAGTCTGTAATAAGGAGATTATGTGATAAGTTTTAGAAAAAGTAATAACAATCAACTGTTTACAGACCAGTCCCTGTGGACCACTTCTAGCTGCATAGTATCTACATACTTACTAAATAATTCTGGGGGGACAAAGGGGTGGTGGAATCAGTTTAAGTGCAAAGAGTATTCTGATTTGCAACTGTCATTACAGATTTCACAAAGTTTAATACAATTTAAGTGATTCCCCAGCTAATCTTTATCTGCAGGTAAGCGATAAAACACATGCCCCATTCCTAAACAGGAGACTAGAGCAGGCATGCAGCTTACACTAGGCTGTGCGTAAGCACTGTTCTGTGCTAATATTCAGTACCTTGTTTCACAGTTTCACTCTAATCCGTATTTGCAGCAGTTACTTTTAACATCTGGTTTGCTTAACTATGAAGATAGTAACACAAAATAACATCATTTTTGCAGTCTAGTCTCTTCCAGTTTAGCTATATTAATCATAATTTATGTTTGCCTCTGATTTTACTCTTGAAAAACACTGCAAAGCAACCTTTGATGACAAGAAGGAGCTTTCTCTTTAGAGGTACCCTATATTTCTCACCACGGTCCAAACAAGTAAGCACAAAGATTTCCAAAGCTTGTCTCTGCCTAAAGGCAGCCACACACACAGAAAAGGAATTTACTGTTGAAGCATGGAGACCAGAACTCTTTGCTACAGTCTGAAGATACCTAAATTTGTGATTCAGTTTCTCATTACAAGTGGCCAGATTTTTTTTTTTTTTTAATGTTTGTATTAAAACATGTTTTGTGCTTGTAGCTGTACAAAATCTAACAGCTGTTTTCTAAGGATTTATGCTGTAATTGCTACAGTAACTATTTGCTGACTGGCAGCATTAACCTAAGCAGGCAAAATAAGCCACTGTCATTAACTGTTATCAACCGGCTACACTGCTCAGAGGCTTCTATGTGTCCTTGTCCATTTAAATTGGCTTTTTGGTGATGAATTCTAGAGTATTGTTCTGTGTAGTTGGCTAACAAAGGACTAGATTTTAAAAATTTTAAATCAATCCACCTGATAAGACAGATAATTTTTATTTTTTTTTTAAAGCCAACTCTGTCCCTAGGTGGGCACAGTCACACTATGCCCTTAACACTGCTGGGTAAGGAGAGTTAGGGTCAAATCCACGACCTTTTGAAAATTCCATTCCTCAAGACAGACTTCTGTCCTTCAGCCGTAGTTAGCCAAGGGCCATCCCACTAATTGCCGGGCAGGAGGGTATACTGACATGGATAGAAGCTTTTAATGAACTACTGATTCTTCACTGAAATTTATTAGTAAATCCTTAAATGAATTTGAGGACATTTAATATTTTTTGGTTTTTTTAAAGAATGCAAAGAAAAAGTTAGTGAAGACAATGCTTAAATAGCTAAATTACTAAAGCAATACAGCTACATTCTGACTCCTTTAAAATAACAAAAAGTTAATATTCAGACCTTTCTGAAGAAAACCTACCAGGATTTAGGAAAACAGGTTCTGGTTCTCCTTTGTTTCCATAGTAGCAAATTACATCTCCTTTGGTGGTACTGAAAAATATAAACAAGAATTTCTCCTTGAAAAACCATCAACTTCTATATTTGATTATGCTCTAATTTCATGCAATCTTCAAACACATCAAGATGTTTCTCCCACTGTTACTACTATGATACCAGAGCCCAGAGATTAATTGATGAGTTATATTACTCTCTTCCTCTCAAAATATCGTATTAGCTGTACCACTATCACATAGTACCATTATAATTTTTAAACATAACTGTAATAAAATTCAGTAAAAACCCAGCACTGCTGCATGAAAGTAGCCAGGCTTAATGACAAAAATCTGTGCAGTTTTGAATAACTGGAGATTTAGTTACCTGGGGGAAAGGGGCATGTCAAAACAAAAGCACAGTCCATCACAGCAAGTAACATTTTCCCATCATTTCTTTTGAACCACCACTGCATTCTAAGAGGCTGACTACTGTGGGACATTTTATCTGGCAGAAGTAAATTTTTTAGGCCCACTTACAGCAATGTCGTAGGGCATAGTTGGGTCCTTTAAGTGACAGATATGCATTTTCAGGCTGTTTTCAGATAGTTGTAGTTACTGTTTATAAGTTCTCTCTTGCACACAGTTTAGCAGGAAGGATCTCATATGATGTTCAATGACAGCTTCCAACTTTGCAAGTAACTCTCACTTGGCAAAGGCAATATCAGCATATCCAAACAGCATAGATTTTTAAGTAGTTGTTCTGATATTGACAACACTAAAACCAAATCAAGTGATAAGGAAAAACAAACAACTAAGGTCATCAGTAAGCCTTGTGTGTCTTGTGGGAAATAGAGGATGGGGGATGGATTGCCATTACATGGCTCACTCTCAGCAACCCTCAATCCCATCAGCTGACATGAAATAGTGATTCCTCAGACTGCTACCAGTTGGTGGCTTTTGGTGGTGGTTTTTTTGTTTGTTTTTGTTTGGGGTGGTGGTTGTTTTTTTGTTTTGTTTTTTAAATTTGCCAGGACACAGCCATGAGGTCATATAATTCTGTACTTCCTTGTAGTGATTTCCTTGTTCACAGTGGAAGAGAGTATTATTGCAGTTACCAACAAATACATTCTGACTGTAGTTCAGCTTTTAATTTGTCCCTCAAGCTCTAGCTCCTTAGACAGCAGGCAAGACTTTTTGAATTTAAAAAAACCCAAACACACACAAAGTTTGCAGTTAAGATTGAATTTGGATTGAGTAGCATAAAACATAATACAGTAGAGAAGCCATTTCCAGCTCCTCATTTTTTCCTAGGATAAAAAGACATATCTGTACCTTGATGCAAATAACAGTATATAGAATGCAATCTCATTAACGATGTACTGGAAGTTAAATTGCTCTGCATAAGTTAGCACCTGCTACTCAAATCTTAGTAATGAGCAAAGCAGTCTTGATTTAGCTGTTTATATTCTTCTTAAAAGGCCATTCTGAAAGACATTCTATAGCATCCTTTGCAAAACAGCCAAATGAAGAGGGAAATAGTAACTTATTATACACGTCCGAAGAGGCAAGAGGAAGAATATAAAAACCACATAAAGCAAAAATAAAACTGCCATTCCTCCTCTGTGCACTATCCTTCCTCCTCCCAAACCCATGAGACTTTCCTAGTACCTTACAGAAAGATGTCCAAGTTTTTCAGCATAGTTAGAAGAGAGTAATTATAGCAGATGGTATTTGTGTATTGTTGCTTGTGTTGTTAAATAAGCTCTCAGTTATTCAATTTACAATTTATCTACTGTTAAAAGAAATGTGGCATTTTTTGAACTTTCCTCTAGTGGCTTAAAAGACAGTTATTTTCCTTATCCTTGTTTTTCTTTTCAACATTAAAATCCTTGTTCAAATTTACCTTATGCTCAACTCAAGACTCCTCACTGAACACCCCAACTCTCCACAGACAACTGCCCACATCAGAATCGTGACAACTAGCATACTTCAGTTTCAGCAGGGCACTGAATACTGATCACTCTGTTCCTGTTCTGGCCCTAATTCTTATATACTGAAGATTTTTACTAGTCTCTGCTAGAGTTCTCATGTGCATGTATTACTTGTGATTCACTAAAAATATTCTTATCCATCAACAGGGAAGAAAAAAAAAAGTTATGTTAGTGAAAAGGCCATTTGTTTCTTTAGTCTGTTTGGAGTATTGCATTGGGAACACCTAGCTAGTTCATACCAAGAGCTGCTGAAACAAAGTAGAAGGAAAACACAAGATGCAACCAGAATTTTCCTTCCTTAATTTCTTGAGATGCAAATTTCTGTTCCACTACCACAGATTAAACTGTGTATGTGACCCATTTATGGAATCTGTTATAACAGTTGTACTTTCTTAATCAGAGACAAAAGGGGTTTTTAAATTATTATTTTTAAACACACTAAGGCAGAGAAATACAGCATCTTCAATGAATATGAGAAAGTGCTGCTGCAAAGCACAGGTGGAAGAAGAAAAATAAATTCTATTAGCAACAGCCTGAACTTCCCTTCTATTTCTTGAGACTCCTTCAGGTACAAACAAGGTCTGAATTAAAAGTTACACATAAAAAAGAGTATAGTTTTTTCATGAGCAGGTAAACACAGCAATCAAAACAACAGCTGTTTTCACCAGACACATAAGCTTATTCAATAAAGAAAATGTTAAGTATTAGAAATAAATTACTGGAAGAGGGAAGAAAACCTCTAATGAAATATTCACCTATTATGCCGGTTCAGCAAACTTTTTTGCCAGTATACTTGTCTGCAGAAATATTTGGATGAGATAAAATGAGCAGAAGGTGTATTTCCTGAAACAATTTTTGTAGTCATGCCATATACAGTGAGAAGTCTGACTCTTTTTCCTATTACTAGCTCTCTCAGTTAATTTACCAAGATATTTTGCTTTTAAGCTAGATGGGACACTATTAAAGTTTCCTAAAATTTCAAATATAAAACTCCCATACATTCTTCCCTTACCTGGATTCTGCCTGGTCTTCAAGGAGACAGGAAATAGATAGCCAGAGAAGTTTAGCCATACTTTATTTGGCTGCAAATACTAAGCTATATATCTGAGATGCCTGGGACCTTACAGGAGTGAAAAAAGAATGGAGTTCAAAGGGTCAACAGACATTCTATGAGGAGATCTGGGTGTACAAGTTCACTTATTCAAAAACCAAAGCCTCTGAAAAACAGGATGATAGTCAACTTCCTCAAAGCATGTTATGGTCCTTGCAAAGCCTTAAATAAATAAAGTCTAGACCCAGGCTGAAAACTGAACAGAAGTTATACTTGAAGTTCTCAAGTCCTTGTTTATTAATGTTTGGTTAGGACCAACTGGCCATTTTAGAAATGTCAGGTTTTTCCTCTTCTCAGCTTTCTTTATATTTTCTTTACAGGTAGTTAATGGTTCACATAAAGCAACGTTAACCTGTATGATGCGTGTCTAACCCAGCTGGGGTTAGACACCTTCCTACAAGCCTGGTTCCAAACAGTACATTTAGAGTTGGCACATGGTTGGTACTAATACTAGAAAGAATTCCTTGGCAGCTAAAAAAGGAGAGCATTGAGCTGAGCTGTCATTAATAGACCAGCCTGACTTCTTGGTCCCAGTCACATGCTAGGATACAAAAAGTCATATACTTATAAGAGTACACTGGCACGCTGCATTTTCCATGAAGAGGGGCATGGAAAAAGCAACACGCAAGTAAAGTATTTTAGGTCACCTAAAGTTACTGAATTGGTGTGTTTCATGGAGCAAACTATTTATAAATAAAATCCAGCTGGAATTAATACAATACAGACAACAACTAAGCACAGGAAGAACAAATAAACCAAAGTTAAAAAACAGGGAAAAAAAAGTTGTCTGCTAATGGCCTATTTTAACATTAGCACTAGAGTAATTAAAAAAACTACAGTGGCAATTATAGTACATAACATGCTTGTAATATATTTAAGCAAATAAAGCAACATCATTAAGGTCATTATAGTCTTTTTTTTCCAGTTAAGACACCAGCAATTACACAAACTATTTTACTGGTGCATTAAATACTCTCTTTTCAAATTGTCAAACCTGTATCTGCTTTAGAAGGTCTATGAAGAGAAAAAAATCAGAGCAACTGTTACCACCTGAGCTCTCAAAAGACAGAGTTTTAGATGGCAAGGTAGACAAATGGGCCAAGCAAGCCCTTGAACACAGCTGTAAGACAAGTCCTGTCATAAACGAGACTGCATGCTGAGTAAGGAGGCACTACTGACTTTCTTTAGCAATGGCTTTTTATAGGAAAGAATATTATCATCTAGCATGTGTTCTGAGATTCTCATGACTGACAAATTCAGTAACAAGATCCCCTGAAGCTCAACAAAAAGATGGGGAATACATACAAACTGCAGGGTCACTAATTCAGGACATCTGTGTCGTATTGTTTTTACATGCCACACTCCCCCAGATGCACATTTTCTATTACCCTTACCTCCACTGCAACACTGCTGCTGTCTTCTGTCAAAACAAGACTAAAACCTTCCAAAAGACTTTGGAAATGGGGATACTTCCAAAATTTAGTTCACTGGGCCAGTCAGCTACTCTTATCATTTGGCTCTGCCTACTGTCTTCCTACTGTTTAGAGATACTCAGTACTGATGAACATCCAGGCAGAAGCCAAGAGGGGGAAAAAAAAACCAAACAAAACAACAAACCAAAAAACCAAATCACTATAAGCTTGATCACAGCAATAGCCTCAAAATCCTGGCCTGGACTCAGATTCTCTTCCCTCCCAGCTTTACAAGTATAGATAACAATTTCACTGGAGAAGTAATAAAGGCATAATTATAAATGATGACAATAGGACCCAGTAGACTTTTTTTTTTTTTTAAATCCCAGTCATAGATGACAGCAGAAAGAGAAGAAACTATAACTACATAAAAATTATGCTCTTAGATACATCATTCTGTCAAAAACTGTAAGCAATAATAAATGTTCTAGGAAATATTCTAGGCAGCATAATCTCAGTAGTAATAGGTGCTTCAAAGCCATGCAGAGTTTGCCACAATTACTTCTTAATGCTGACGAAATATAAGCAATATCCTTCTGCACCCCTGCCCTGCTTCAACTTCAAGGTGGCTCCAAGTCACGTTCAACAAAAAATACGGACAGAAGAGAGAAAAAGTAATGAGGCCATAAAGCTCCAGAGGGTGTGGTTATCACCAAGTGATCGTTCCCCTGGGCACTGAGTTCTAATCTTCTAACAGGGTCAATATTTTACCAACAAGGACATTGGATTGTCTTATGAATAACATGTGCATGTATTTTTTGTCAAGGGGAAAAAGATGAAATTGGCAGCTTGAAATGCTGAAAAGTAGTTTCAACTGAGTAGTACAGTTCACAGTTTAATTTCCTTTTGTTCAATTTTCACGAGCTAATCAGAAAACTCTTTCTGTTCTGAAGCTAAAAAAACCCAAGAAAACACAAAATCACCAACTATAAAGCCCAAACATTTTTGTACATATGCCACCTACCATCAGATAAAATGGTGAAAAGAATACTGCTGGACACTCACAGCATACAAAGTCTGCTTTAAAGCACTACTCTGATTTTGTTGTCAGTGTCTAAACATTTCTTTGGTGTTGTCCTATTTTTTTGAGTCAGGCAGAAGCTGACACCAGAGGGAAGAGATAAAATAAAAAAGTTTCAGAAGCTTTTTTCCTTCTCTTGACATTGGACTGTCCATCTCATTCAACTTGCAAATGACTGAGGATCTACACAGAAATATTTCAAAGGTGGTAGTACAGAACACATTAGAGAAGTACCTGGACACCTTATTTTCATGAGGAAGTCACAAGGAGCAAGACAGATGTACTCTGCCGAAGCTGGTATTAGGACAGACATTGCGTGAAAAGAGATGTAACTGAGCTTACAGAGCAATCATGACAACTTGCCCATCTACATTCTTTCCACACCAGCAGTTTGACCCTATCTCACTTTTCATTGGAAAGGCACCTAAGTCTAATCTCTGGAGAGCAATCAAATCCTTCCCACCTAGCCTTGCCTTGATAACCATACTGAATGAGACAGCCCATGTTTCTAAAACCTGGTCACACTGTGCAGATGTTTTAATCTTGAGGCCCTGCACTATCAACAGTTCAGTTAAGTCTTCTCCCAAACATCTTTTCTTCAGTTTGCTTTTTTTTACCTCAATGATGTTGCTACATAACTAACAAGCTGTAGATTTCCATATTAAAATACATATATATACACAGTATATATTTTTATATATATATAAACACTTTTAAACATATATTTTATTTTATATATTTGTGTATCTATTCCCCTCCCCTCACACACATTCCAACCCCACCGTTTTGGGGATCTGCAGTTTCAACTGGAACTCAGTCCTATCTATCAAGGATAAAACCTATTATTAGCCAAACTTCACTCTTCAGATCAGAACGGGAAGAATACATTCTAGTACATAATCTCCGTTTTCAATACATTACCAAATTAGTTAATGCAGGTGATGGTATAGTTTATTACATTTCCCCTGGAGGCACTGAAAACTGCCTGTCACAGGGGAGAGTAGAAAAGCTCACACAAAAGGACTTTTTCCTGCAGCTCCCTACAGCTGACTTGTTTTGTAAGGGACAATTCATCTATTCCTCATGGAGAAAGCGATTCACTCCTATTACACAGGGATCTTATTGCACATGAACAATACGGGCTCTAACTGACAAGCTGTCAGAGACTCTAAACTTCCTAGGAGAGTGACAAGAAGCTGCCACTTCAGTTTGTCCTTCAGGGCAGTCTGTATTAACCACTTGGCAGTATGGAACACAAGTGAGATGCTACCACAACAGCGCTAACACAAGTCTGAGATACCCATGAAAGTTTGAGCAACTGTAGCAACTAGATTTGTTGGACATAAACACAGGTTTCCCCAACACAGAAATGCTGTCCCGATCATCAGCAAAAGCAGCTCACTATTACTTCAGATACTATCACAAAGGGAGAAAGAAGGAAAACTACTATTAATCTTAAGCGGCTATTTTCTTAGAGACCAGTCCAGCCTCTGATAACCTTGCTCTGATCTGATCAGACCTACTGATAGTCAAAATTGGAGGAGTAGCAACACTGCCTTCTTAGAAGCTAGTTTTACAGCCCCACAAGACTCCATATAGACACTGTTTGCCATATGCCATACATTCAACATAAAAGTACATTTCGCATAATGGGGTAAGTATTCATGACTCATACTCAGCAGATACAGCAAGATGATAAATTGAAAATATTAGAAAACTTGAAGTACTAAGTATTTTTTCCAATACAATATTCCTATTTAAAAGAAGAATAGTGTTTAAATTGACAACATGAAATGCCACAGAGCAAATAGATACACTAAAAGTGTCAAAACCCATGCATGTTTAAAACAAGTCACACAAAGCTGTGGAAATAAACGAGGTTTTACAACCCATATGGTGGTTTCCAGCTCTCCCTTCTCACATCATGACACCTGTATCATCTAGCATAGTGTCATCATAATAATACAGAGAGAAGATAAAAATTTCTTTTCCTGAAATGTGTACCTGAAAACTCAAACACTGTAAATGTCTCTAAATGTGCTGCTTACAGTCAGCAGTATGATGTGCTCAGATATACCCCTCCCCAACAGTGCTTCATTTATACTTTCCATTTGAGTTTCCTCCCCATTTCACACAACTCTAACAGAGCCAATCACTATTTGTTACACAGCAGAAGAACATGTTAAGAATAGTCTTCAATCTTTATGTTTAACAGTAACATGGCCCAACAAAATAGCATCAACTACAGCAACATTTTCTAGTTACATATAAAAGTAGCTTCCATTTATATACTACATTTCTCTCATGAGTACTTCTAATTTCCTAAAATGACAAGTTTACATGTCTTATAGAAATTGCTCTGCATCATTAGTTTGCCAAGAATTTCATTTCATCAGAGTATCCAAGGCTAAGGACATATCAAAATGGAGAAGTTAATCAACACATACAGCTTTCAGACTGATGCTCAGCAAGGAATTATGACCTGCATTACTCAGAAAGACTATTCAATTGAGCATACAATTCCCTATCAGCCTAGCATAGAAGAATAAACAAACAAAACCAACACATGAATGACTGCCTTATCAAGTAACATCAATCAAATCTACTTTAATATCATTATACTAGTAGCCACTACAACTATTCTATTTACCTAAATTAGCACAAAGAAACTCAAACTTACTGCTTGCTACGTCACACAAAGTTACTTTTTTTCTTGAAAACAGAGTAAGACTTATCTTTTCAGTTACAGACAGCCTTCCAATTTATGAAAGCTAGCCAGGCAGCAACATGCAGCAGAGAGCACAAAAAGTCAAATCCTCTGACCATGGTAAAAATTAGTTTAAGCAACAGAAAAATTTTGGAAGTCTCTGGTGGGATAATGAACTTTGTAGAGTAGAGGGTAAAAATAACAGAGAAGCAGCAAACCCTGTAACTGCCTATCCTGCTTCTGGATTAAACTTCTGGAAACATAACCTATACACTTATTTCTAAGCGGGCACACCAAGCAGAAACACACTCCTGGTATCTTCACGGGTGGCACGTGTCTGTCTTCTGTATTCATCCTTTTAGACTTCAATCACCTATATGAGTTTCATTTCACTTTACTATCATATCATAGCAAATTAAAAAATGAAAACTAATAGCCTGGCAGAATATGAAATAAAGGCCTTTCTTAAAAAAAAAAAAGATGACAAAACACTTGCAGGTAAGTGGGAGAGTAGGGAGTGGGAGGCAAGTCTGAAGTACCAGCTGAAGGTGGTCTAAAACAGAAAGTGAAAAATCTAAACAAGATCAGTTAGCAATAGGGTGCTAGAAATTATTTTCACTGAAAACAGTAAACACTATGACCTTCTGCTTTAAGAGTATGTAGTTTCCCAAAAGCATGCAGAAAAGCTGAGTGGGAGAAAGCCTCGCACCATCAGGTTGTCTAATATGATTAATGCTTCTGCAGAAAGTGTGCCAAAGCAGTAGTGTGCTCTTGGCAATTTATACCTGCTTATGGTCATGAAGTATGCATTTAACTGAGAATTGATCCATAGCCTGGAGATGACTTAGCCCTGGATGTCCATTCTTCTGAATCAGGCATAATGCAAAGAAAAATCAGCATATGTACTTGTGCATGCACACATGCATGTGCATGGGAAAGCATGTGCCAGCCACATTGATTATAATCAAGTATCCAAGGTCCTTTCTTCAGCTACAGAAACTTGAAGAAGTTAATGTATTTGTTGTGTGCTGTTTCAGCAAAGATTAATGATACAGCCACTCTGACAGGAGTAATAGCTTGAAAGCTTTCAGCTGTTCTAATGCTGCCACCACATGCTACCTCTCAGAGAAAAAAATAAATTCTGAGAAATTACAGAGCCAAGGTCTTGTTTTCTCCAAAACACAAGCCACACAGCCTTCAAGGTAAAGACTGAGTATGACCTATTAGGGAAAGAGTTGCAAGAAGTTTTGCGGGAAGCAATGATTAGAATACAAGATAGCCCTCCAGTATCTGAAAGATGAAAAAATAATAAAGGAAATTATGACTAGAGTACCATTAGGACCTTACATGCCAATTAGCAAAAAAATGAGAGCTCTCACTTTAGTTTGTGACAGGCTTCTGTACTGTTATGCTTCTGTGCCAAGAAGTATATGTACATCAGTGCTACTATGTATCTCCCTTTGACATTTGAACTGTGATGTTTTGTAGACTTACTTCAAGTCAGCTGCTAATAAATTAAATCCATTGTAAAGATGTCCTTCTACTGAAACTTTCTTCAAGTAAGAGTAGCTGTCCAGATCTGCAGTCAAGAAGTTTGTTACAAGAGCACCTAAGAAAGAGAAGTACATAGAGTAATTTGTGTGAGCTCACTATTCTGACAGGCTTGGTAAAACAAACAGTATACAAAGGATTCTTGTTACCAGTAGGGTATAAGAGTGAAAAAAGAACCCAGCAAAATCAACCGACCAACCAGCCTTTAAAAGTCTTACAGCATTGTATCATGTTCACATTAAGAGCTTCACTTTTTATTCTTAAGAACTCAGTCAAAAGCTCTTGGTCAATATTTCTACAGAATCCATATTTACTAACTATTCTATACTGGATGTGCCTTTCCTCTCCTCCCACCTTGCCAAACTCTTTGTCTTGCTTCATTTCCCCGATATATGACCCTAAAATGAAATACAAATGACATGGTTCATTTGTTCCTCTGTATAACATGTTTTGCCATTGCAATATATTCCCAACGCAGTACCACATGACAGTTACAAACAGACCTATTTTACTTTAAAAAAAAATACACAGGTTTCAGAAGACTTTTCTTTCCTATTGTATCTACTCATCTGATTTATCAGTGTGTAGGGCAGAAGGGACTACAATAATCTTTCAGGCTAACCTCCAGCATAATCCAAGCTGCATCGTTTCCCTGACTTAGGTATTTGAACAAGGACTTGAAAAAGTCTACTGTAATCTAAATCTAGTACAATGCTTGTCTAGTTGTTCTGTTAATTAGAATTACTTTCAAGAGAAGACAGTTGGTGCTGCATTTCTTGTCTGAATGTAACTTCAGGCTCTAGGCACTACATCTTGTTTTGGTTTTGCCTGCTTGATTAGAATATCATTATCCAAGTCAAGTTCCCCACACAGGTACTCAAAGTCCAAGTCAGCAGTTCACAAGTTCCGTTTACAGCACATAACCATTTTATTTGTCCATAAAGTCACGTTAAAAAAAATTAATATTGTAATCATCACTGTTTTACTAGGACACCAGAACTTGTTTGTCCACTTTTCTTCTTCCTCCATTTCTACTCCTTCATACCTCTTCCTTTTGCATTTTTATCAATCTGTGGCTGCATATAGTTTGTCAGGGCTGCCATCTTGCCTTTCTTACTGATTCCCAGCCATGTCCCGCCTTCTTTTCCTTCCTCCATATCCAGACCTAATGGAATAAGTAAGAGTTAGGCTATTACATTCATTTAAAAAAAAAATCTCAAGCTTAAATCAGAATTTCTTAATGCAAATCCTGAGTCTTGATCAGGCTGGATAAAATGCAGTAGGTACGAGACTGTCTTTCTGGATAAGTGAGGTAAACCCACTTAAATTACCTGTCCTCCAATTCTGCACTATCAAATATTTTCCAAGCTACTGCAATAATAGATGAGAGATAATGAGAAATTTAAATGTAGAAGCAAAATTATAAGCTTTGCCTATATGCTAAAATACACATAAAACTAAGTAGGCTCAGAATGCTTGTTAGCTCAAAAGCATATCTCAGAAGATTAATGTTATTTGCAAGTTTAAATTCACAAGTAACCAGAAATATTTAGAGCAAGCTAGGTAACTGATAAAAATCTTGGACGCTAGTAACAGTAATTTACATTGAGGAGGAAGACCCACAAAAGTGAAGCCCACAACCAAACCCCTTGAAAGAGAGTATAAACTAACCCCCCCCATTTGTAATAAGCTTATGTTAACCAGCAAGCATTTAATGCAAAACCAAGAACTAGTTCAATATAACATGTATATTGTTAGAAACCTTTTAATTCTGAATCATTATGTCATGAGATAACTTTCATTAGAAGATCAAAAGAATTTTAGATCCTTATTCAGAAACTCCTTTCTTTCTTCAGTATCCAGAACTTCAATATTGAATTTAGCCATATCACGTCTTTACACAATACTTTTACTACTGTGCTCTACTTTAACTGAAAGGCCCACAAAGGAAAACATACGGCTTTGTTGACCAATGCCCAGTGATTAACATATAGCAATTACTGTTTTCCTGAAATTGCTCTAAGTGCAAAATATTTTTCATTTTTAAGTCATACAAAAAATAAATTTAATTTATTTTGGTTAAACTCATTGCTTTCATTTGAGAGAACATTAGTAACTCAAAGCCATATATTCATGGGATCTTCACAGATACACCCCCAGGATGGAGAATATGCCAGTTTCATATGCCAAATACGGACAGAGCTGATGAGTATAAAAGATAAAAATTCAGGGCCCTTCAGTTTTCAGCATAGCTTTTTGTTTGTTTGTTTTAAATTGCTATATAGCAGGAGCAGCAGCATCCAGCACGTCTGGCACAAAACAGAAATGTCAGCCAGAACTTCAGAAGCAAGGGAGTTGTAGTGCAGTGGGAGTAATTTATCCTCACAGGCCCCCTTGCCAATGACAGTAACACACAGCATCAACAAAGAGTATTTGCAAAGTCAAAATCTTGCATTTAAACAATGCTTTGTCTTCCAGAGTGTCATTTCTGTTTCTGAAAAAAGGCAGAAGTATTGATTATACTTAAAAATGACTACAGATATAGATTCCCTACATAGGAGAACCAGACAGCTGAGTGACTGTACTATCAGTTTAGAAAAATGTAGGCATGAAAGCTAATAAACTGATGGATCAACAACTAAAAGTATTCTGTAGCCTATAAATTAACTGACAAGAAATGAGAAAGTTTTCACTTTCTTGAGTTTAATGATTTCAAGTCAGTATTACAGACAATGAGTCTGTGGAATAACTAATTCCACTTATTTTAAGAAGTGTTTCACAGTATCTGACAAAACTAAAGTAATCGTCTGTGATGGACAAATTAATCTGATATATTTCCACTGCACCGCTCGGACTGAAATCAGTTAAAGAACGCAAAACTGGGAAAAAGCCCACAAGATATTAAAACACAAATAAGATAATAATAGCACAACTCATCTTTCAAACTTATGACATGTTTTCCCCAGCATTATTGGGAAGAAGCATATTTCTTATGAGAAATGCACCACCACCCCCCCAGTAACAAAAAATCAAGGCTGTAATTCCCTTATAAATTGTATGAAACCCACTCAAAACAACAAGACGTACATACCACTAAGGATCTCATTGCTGCTGTCCCAAAAATCTGCCGATTTGGATGGTCTGTGGTAAAATTCATCCCTATTAGCTGCTAGAATAAGCCTGTAGAACACAAGAGCAAAAAGATACTCTTACAAACAGGAACTTCACAGTACAGACAGGAACAGAATCCAATCTTGCCACAGCATTATCTCATTTTAAGTATGAAACCATTCTTTATCCTCCCATCTCACTTTTATCACTCAGCGTAAAGGTCAAATGACATCTGACAACAGCCTTCTCTCTCATTGTCTTGAGACATTCAGCAAGTCTATCTTGTTGTGTAAATCAGGCAGCTATTATTTTCAAGGAATAATACTTGCAATGCAAGAGACTGAATTAAGATCGCATAAGCAATCTTAAGATTCCTCAGCATCTGAAGTTACAGCTTAATTAAAGAAAATTAAAGGTAACCCACAGATTTATAGGTAACTTTATCAAAAAAATCTGAAGCATGAGAGTATGTTTTTACTGAATCACTACTTAGGATCATGTAGTCACACTATTTTTTTAATCTAACTTCAACACCTAAAGCTCTGTTTATGTGGTTCAAAGATACAAGTCACATGCTTTTGTCTATAAGTACCCAGAACAGAGATAAATTTGTGATAGTCTCAAAGGTCCAGCCCCACTGAAATTCATTTGAAGAAAGGACAGCATGCTCAAGGATGCAGAGAAGTAAAGGGAAAAGGCATGGGGTTTTGTAACAATCAAGAGGTATTTTGGTGGGGCTTTTTCCCCTGTTTTTTGTTGTTTGTGGGATTTTTTTGCATGTGTAGTTGCTTGCATAATCTCAATTCTACCAGAACAGTAGGACAAAATAATTGAATCGTTACTGTGAGTCAGCCCTTACAGCAGAGAAACTACAGGAAGCCCTGGAGGCTACACAATCAGGAGGTAGGAAAAAGTTACGAAAATAATATGCAATTGAAAAACACTGCTGGATGAAATCCGTTATTTAAACACATCACTCCACAAGACCAAGTGCTGTCCTGACAAAAAGCATGCTGCAGCTCTTCACATGCCATTTAAGATTTGATAATTTTAGAAAACAAACAGGTATTAAAAAATGCCAGACATTATTAGGAAACAGCAGTGACAGAAAATTCTGCTAGCTATGCCTGGTTCCTTCTGCTCTGTACTTTGATAATTATCATAAATGGCACCTGCAGACTTGAAAGACCCAAGTTCAACATGATATTTAAGAAGCAGGGGACATACAAGATAGGACAGGTCTTCCTCAAAAGTTCCAGGCATGCCAGCAATGCAGATCAGTCAAATTCAATGATAACACCAGTTCAAGCCAGTCAGGCTGTGAATGTAAAGCAGGTAAGATTTAAAGAGTCAGTACAGCCAGACAGCTTCAGAGGAATTTAGAACAGTCTCACCTCTTTGAAAAGCAAAAACTATTTCTCTGTCCATTTCATCCAGCAGAAGTTATTAAAACAAAGCAACTTATTTGGTGTACTCCCTTACAGATCACACAAATACCTTACTGAATGTATGCTACAGTCATTTCATTAGCAGTGTTAGTACTGGAACACTAGAAAGAAAAGTCTAGGCTAATCTGACTGTGCACATCCATCTTTTGAAAGTGAGAAAATTAACATTTTCTGTTACTCAAAAGCAATGGAAGACAGCATCAGCAACTAAATGTAATGACTTATTGCAACATCAGATAGGCACAAGGTATCTATCAATAAAAGCTTGAGTTAGAAGTGTTACTGGGTTTCTATGCTGAGAATCAGCATTCAGACACTGCCATTTTCAAACCTGTAGATGAGCTTTCATTTGATGCTGCTCTTCCAGTCTTTTTTCAATCATTTTTAAAATTAAAAAAAAAAAAAAAAAAAAAGTGTTTTTCATTGGCAGCACATCCTCACCTGAAAAGCAAGTAATGGATTTGGCTGATCCAAATAAAGGGCAAAAGACAACTGCAACCCTAGGCAAGCCATATGCTGGAGACTCAGGGCAACAGGTGACTGCAGACACACTTGCACACAACTCCACCACACCATACTGTGATCCAACAGCTATAACTTCCAAAGTCCTGCTCATTATTACCCATAACATGACTTGCCTTTATTTCAATTGCAAGATTACAAGTGTTCGCCGTTCTCTCCAGCTATGTTGCTTAATATTTAATTTTAATGAAATGCCATCTTTCAGAAACCTGCGGATTTTCTTAACCAGTTTCCTACAACCTCAGTACCTTCTTCACTGTCAGTTCCTCCTACCAGCCCAGCCACATGTCAATTACATTTACACAGCAGAAGCCAAGTTTGCTACTGTAAACTGAAGTTAGACAATACAATTTTCTTTCTAAATTTTAAGCCACAAAATGCAAGAATTGGTTCCAATGAAATCTCATTACTTTACTCATCATTCAAATGTACTGACATTTTCTGCAGGCTTCTGGACTTCCCTGCAAATTCACCTCTTCGTTAAAACATGATCATGAGGTACCAGTTGCACATTAGAAATACTACAGATAAAAGAATTATAATCAGCTATAGAGAAAATAAAAAAGGCTAACACTTCAATGGCATCCTTTCTGCAAGGAAGGTGCTTAGTATTTTGCCCAACAAAGATAGCATTTGTTGGAAAGCACAGCATAGATATGTTTTTATCTTTTCAATGCCAAATAATCATAATATCATTCCTTTCTGACTTGCATTATTTCTCTTCTTCTAGCTGATTCTAGTCTTCGACCTATAGGCTTTCAGCTGGTTTACCCAATGTCATTTTTCTTGAATATCCTCCATTTACAGCATGCATCCTCCTTTTACAGGTCGCTATTTAAATTAACATCTCTACTGTTAAAAAATAATTTGGCTGAAGTGCATTTCTCATTTCCTGAAGCTCCAATTACATTTTGCCTTCAATAATTCTTGACATGAAACCACGGTTTGTTTATAATATCTAAATACTAAAAATAAGCCAAGTCTTTCTGGTGTGATTAAATATTCCCCATCTCAAGTTTAATCCACAGACTCCTAAATTTAGCAGAAGGCTAGTATTCAGGATCGCTACAATCAAAACATCTTCATTTTGTCTTTTATGAAACAATCATACTGAAAAGGAGCAATGTTAAGTGACCCTCATCATCTAATAAATTGCAAAAAGCCTATTCAGCTATTTTTATAGCTGAAATATTTCAACTGTATTAGGTTTTACATATTAAGATTTATTTTAATGTTGAGGCAGAGATGAAAACATGAGAAATCATTCCATTAAAGCAATTTCCTACAATGTAATTCAGTTCCATAAAAAAAGACTGTGCGATTATAGCTCTGAAGCTTGAAACATGTATTTATTTGTAAGACGCACACAGTATAGTTCAGAAAGATGTAAAGGCAGCATGTTACCTTTGACAATAATAATGGACTACCGTAAAGCTTTTGTTACACTGCACTAAACTTTACTACAAATAGGCCTGTAGAGAGGACACCGAGGAAAAAGGATAGAACAGCAAGTTGCAAGGATACAGGAAGATAGATTCATTAGTGTATCACAAAAGTGAACTGTAAGCTTTTTGCTTAATTAGGTGCTCATGAAAATTGGCCAATGTACTGCTCTAGAAACCAAAGTCTACCTGGATGGAAAATTCTCTTAAGTGTTATGGAAAACATGTTTTAATTTGAAAAAGTTTATTGGCTACAAGAAAATGGCCAATGACATGCAGTTTGTCTTTTCAAGTTGTTATGCCTTTTCTAGACACTTTATTTTAGTTAGAGATGCAAAGTAGATGACAGTAAGAAGAGTTAATTGTAGATGTCTCTTAACATGGACAGACAAATTAGTATGTCTGCAGGTACGGGAATCCCCTTTTGGATGGGAAAACTGTTCCAAGACCTCACCAGGAAATAAACAGCTATACCACAGTGTAACACACATGAGTTGTCAGGAAAAATTATGTTTAGCAAGGGACCAGTATAGAGAGGTCTAACTTGGTCTAATGGCTATAATACTGTTCAGAGACTTAGGAGGGCTGGGTACCATTCCCAACTGATACTCAGACCTACGTCCTTCAGAAATCTGAGGCAAAAGTGAAAAAAATGTCAAGAACAATTTAAGAAGAAAGAACTTCAACATTTTTCCAAATAAAGAAAAGCAGAAAGATTTAATTCTGGTGTATTAAGGAAAAAAAGGGGACTAAAGTTATGCATCTGATGTTAAAATCTGACACCAAGAACAGTATGGCCTGGCACTTACCACTGAAACAGATGGCTCAGAGTAATTTATCTCGGAGGAAGAGAGCAAGACGTTGCTTAACAAAAGGTACTAACTTAAATACAATTAAATATTCCTGAATCTGGGCCAAAACATCTCAAAAGCATTTTCCTATTTTGACACTGATAGCAAGTTGTCTTCTGCTATTAATCAATAATTTCAATCTTGATGCAATTTTTTTATAGCAAGCAAACTACCGTAAGTTTTACTTTTAAGTATTGATCATGCCAGAAAGTTCCCTTGGCAAGCAACTACAGTTTACATCCAAAGGATTTTCCCAAGAGGCATTGAACTGATGAATTTGTCTTTTGCTAACTAGCCATACAAAGAAAGTCAGACCAAATAAATGGATATATTAATTCAGCACCAGTCACATCATAAACAAAACCCCTTTTTAGACAGATTCAAGATGCAGAAAGGAATGCACTCTATGAACAATTGAAGTTCCGCTTCTCTTTTCCTTTCTTTCTATAGAATGGCATCTGCTTCTCAATACAAAAAGGCAGAAAAACAAGTCAATGAAAGGTACAAGGATTTACTGAGCATACCAACTCTGACGCTTTCTGGATGAATACCAATACTTGTACCCCACAAAGTAATATGAAACCTAAACAGTATGTAGAAATACAGAAAGCAACAGAACTCCACAGTCATCTTACTGGCCTGAAGTGCTATCTTTCTATTACCTACTGAACGTACTTAAAGATACTGCTGTTGCATATGAACTTGTAAAATTAAGGGCTGTAATGGGAGAGAATATTATTACAGGAAGTTTAATGTTTGGGAAACTCGCTGTATGACATCAACATGTCCAGTAAAACTTACCTAAAAGCATGGATGCTTATTTTGTCTTAAGCTTTTGGATAAATATTCCATACACATGATTATTAGTTTATTACCTAAAATTTTATTTGCAAGCAGATTTTTGGGAGGGGAAAGGCTAGGACACTTACTAGAAGTTCTCTTCTGCAGTTCACAGCACTACTTGTTTTACATTGATATAGTATAATCAGTTTGAAAGCAGTGAGATTTGATTTCCAGCATTTTCTGAAATTGTAAGTACTTAATTTTAGGACAAACAGCAACTGAGGATCTTTAAGTACACCTTGTCCCAAAAGTAAACTGCTAGGCATAAATAACTGTGAGGATATCTTGACCTCATCTATCCATATTTTAAAAAGCAACTGCACCTATTCATAAGCTAGCTAGTTCTATCAAAAACACAGTGGAAGAGCGAGTAGTGGTAGCCATAATGTAACATGGAACAGAGCAGTGAACTACACAGTGAACAAGAAGGTACTGTCCTTGGGAGGAAACATGACAAAGTGGTAATTCAAAGTTAACCAGAAGCTACATAAGCAGTTAAATTCAGTAGTAGTACCTTCTAGATTTATAGTGTGCTGCTCCCTTGGCTTGCAAGACTGGACCAGCACATATTAACAGAGGAGAAATTAATACACAGAGTGGTTAATAACTGCAATACTTCTGCTCAACTGTCTGCCCATTACTTTCCAGGCTAAATTCAAATTGTTAGTTTAAAACTGAAAGCCCTACTGAAAGAAAGGTACAGCTACAGCTGTGATGCTCTAACAAACACAGTTCCCCTTAGTTTAAGTCATAAAGTAGAAGACAGGACTTTCAAACTCTGGATTACAGTATTTGAAGGATTTAACCTACACCACATGATAGATCACCAGCAAAAGGTCCATGATCACAAAGCCCAAGTCTTTTGACAGTCTAAAAACAAAGGGTTCTCAAAAGGTTACAGGAAGTCCTCCAATAGGGAAAGTCATGAAGTTAAACATTACAAAAGCATAATTGAACACGTAATACTGACTTGAGCTTGTAATTCAAACATTGGCTACAAAAAGAAATTGTGTAAAAAAAAATGATAGAAACAAGTCTGTTTTAACTAGAACCATCTTTACCTGTATGCATTCTTTGAAACTGGTCGGGGGTCAAATTTGAATAGAAGGATGCACATTGAAGAATTGATGTTTAAATCTTGCTTCTTCCACAAAGGCTCAGTGCAAGGTCATTCTGTAATAGCCTACAAAGTAAATAAAGATTATCTATTATACTGGAAATTATAAAAAGATAACCTTGCTTCTATGCTGAAGCTTAAAGATTGCAATGTTCTCACTAATAGCTCACAGTAAAAATAAATAAATAAAACAGGACTTCCTAAATAGATTTGTTTCAGTGAATGGTTTACTACCAAAATTCTTATGGAAGTTGTTTCAAAGTTATGTTTGGCTAATTTAGATTTTTAGGAAAGAAACAAGCATCAGGAAAATACTGACAAAGTCTAGAGTGCTAGCAATACATGAAAGAAAGACCATTATGTAATTTTCTGCTCATTCCCAATAAACTACCACTACCTTTTTTTCTGCTGTCTTAAGTAAGGCAAAATGCTTCTGTTAGAATAAAAGGAGAAAATAAGACTGAAACTGTTGCAGAAGCTGGAAAAAGCCTGATCAAAGACACTCCCAAAGCTGTAAATAAAGTATACTTTAGGCCAAGCTATTATTAAAGTCCAAGAAAAAGTATTATTATTTACCATTGGGAAAAACATCAGGTACAAACAAAAATATACTGGATCAGAGTGTACCTTTTGATGAATAATTTCCAGCACTTGTGGTATGTTTAAAATTCTGGCCATGCTCAGTTGGCATGACAAATGTGCTTTCTATTTCAAAACCATGTAACCGCTTTCAAATACTTTGTGTTGCCCCAATGAAAATGTTTCTGGTAATAAAACTGCAGCCTGATCTTTACTTTTTGTGGCTGCTAAAACAATTATCAGAATGTTACTAACCAACTACACATAGCTGTTTTACTGCTACTGAGAGCATTTCCCATGCAAGAGTTTTCAAGGTGGTCAAAGAAGAGAGGGGGACAGGCATAATTCGACACCACAACTCTAAAGCCATCTGAGCAACCCAGCGACTAAAGCAACTTCTGTACAAAAAGTAGGATTTTTAACCATACTTCCAGATATGCAGAAAGTGTCTCTCTTGTTCTTTAATTTTCACATAATTTACTTTAAGAGGTATCAGGAAATGGATGATCTTGACTACATTTCATATTACCAGAAGCAGAGCTGCAAGTGCAGCGTTTATACATATTTTTTTAATTAACAGCTTGCCAGTAGCTGCTTGGCTCCTGTTAAGTCACAGTTCAGCACTACGGCCAGCCTGCTGTTGCTGTCATGGCATGGCAAGTTCAGTCTCGCAATCTAACGTTCTGCAAAGAGACTCTTCTGCTGCAGGAAATGAAGTAACTCAAAAAGAGGTGCAACACTCCCAACACGCTTGCCAAGACACGCAAGAAAATCAGTTGAAAGTAGTGTGTGTGTGTGTACATATCTCTATCTCACAAAGTATTTTAAATTCTGTTCTGTGACAAAAGGAATTTTCCTCCCAAGATGACTTCATAGTCCACTAGCCAAGAGCAGCAATAGCCTAGCTATCCCAACTATTTTCTGTTTAACAGGTTACAGAATAAGGCATTAGAGAAAATGGAATTAAATCACACCATAGGCTTTCTTCGCCTCTACCAAGTCAATCCCAAAATAACTGGTTTAGAAAGTAATCATAAATTGAAGAAGCAGACTTGGAATTTTGGATAACCGATTTATTAGTCAGTTACTTAAAGAGATCCGTAGCCAGCTTTATTTAGAAAATCTAATCAGTTTTAAGAAGGTGTTATCACCCTTCTAAGACTCCTATCACTGAATTTTCAATAGACTGCAATCATACTGGACTCGTACAACCAAACTACCAGTTCTGGAAGACTTGGATTTTCTACATACAGATCTTGTTAGCTTTTCACAAAACTCGGGATCTTGTACCCCAGCTGCTTTCTGTCACTAAGCATAAATAACACTGACCTGTTCACACCTTCTACTCCAACTCTTAAAAAGAAACTGAAGCAAACCAAAATTACAGTCACAGTTCAAATCACAGAGCACAGATTTCCTAGAGCAACATACAGCTTATGAACTAGCGCACAGTGCCATTTCCAGAGAATACAATTAAAACATAACACAATTCTAGGTATTTCTGAAGCCTTTTATACTTATTTTTTTACTTTAAAATTTCTGATACTGTCCAGATATCCATTGCATATCTATATGCCATACCCTACCCCAGTTTCTTTATTCAGAATACCATTTCTTCTACCAGAAGGCATTTAAATTGCAGATCCAGATCTTCCTATTCATGATTTCTTCTCTGGAACCTTACATTGTTCTTTATTCTGCACCAGCTACCCTTCTTTTAAACTTATCTTCTCTCAGTCCAGAATCTTCTTGTCTTCCTTGACTTGTCCTTCCCTCACCTTCAAACCTACTCTGCCTCTAGATACTTGCTTTGTCATTGGACATTTATTTTTCTGTTTGGTAATTTTTCTGTCCCCAGAAGAACATGGAAGATGGGTTTCTTCATGACTCAGGTTCTCCAGCATGCTTACTGTGCAGCCAGAACATAGTCATGAAGGTTATTCACTTCTGCAGCACCTTACCATACAGATGTCAATCCAACCAGCCTCCTGGATGAACTACACATTGGCTAACTGTAGGAACCTGGTGTATCATCAAGTCTGGCAGATTTTCCCTGCTAGAAGACTGGGCTCCCAAATAACCTTCTCAGGGATGCACAATCCTATATAACACAAGCCTACAGCAAGGCTGGGACAATTAACAGTCACCCCTCTTTCCCAAATGATGCAAATCTCACAGTAGTTATTGTTTATGTAGCTTAGTGCATACGCTACACAGAAATCAAACAGGATACTTTTTCCCCCCCCTTCAAAAAGTGACTCTTTTTGCTGAAGTCATTACTGTCCTCTAATTAGGACAGATGAGACCTTTCAACTCCCACTCCCAACATTACAGTTAGAACATTGCAATAAATGTCAAACTAAGAACAAGGGTTTATTTTAGCTCACTGACTGCTGCTGTTCTATTCCTCAAGCAATCTCCTCAGACAGCTCCACAAGTAAATGGAAACAGCACTCTGACCTTGACAACTTGACCGAACATGAAATTGGGAGGAGGAGGAATGTCAACAAACACCTGTGCTGCACTAGGCTCAGCGCTGTGCAAGACATCCTCCTTCCTGTTCCAAGTTCTGTACATTGGGAGTTGTGCAGACAACTGCTCCCCCTCTCCCCAGCCCCCAATGTTTCAACAAGAGTTGCAGGCTGTGTTTATAATCCACACTGTAAAGATGCAAATAAATTGCTGCAACAAAAAGGAAAAGCAATGAGTTTCCTGTTAAGAGACATATTTAATATCAGAAGTTCGGAAAGCTAAACCTGGTAATAGCATTTTAAAGAGGCACTTTCACGTTAGTCACGTTTTTGAACATGCAAAGTCTAACATAGATTATTGGATCTGCTACTGCTAGTTGTGCTTCCACCAAAAAAATAAAAAAAGCAAGTTTATCACATGCTGGTGATTTCAATTATGCAGATTTCAATTTTACAGTTCAAATCTCTGGTTTATCTTATCTTTTCCTTTTCTCCCCAATCTGCAGCTTACAGGGGAAATAAACTTTTTGTCTCTGAACCAGAAAGCCACCAGAGCCAAGCATTAGCCAGTGACTTGATGCCAAAAGGATCTGAATTAGTACTGGAAAAGTCTTTGCAAAGGAAGCAGCAGCACAAGACTGATCCTAACCATGGCTCTGAGAATTCAGATTGCAAAATCTTTCTTGGAAGCCCACAAAAAAAATGGACAGATTAAGATTATCTGTCCTTTATGTTAGCAAACATTAAGAGCTTTAGTTTGTCTTTAAGACATGTACCAAAAAGCAATGTAAAAAAATAAGTCTAGACTGAGTGATTTCTTGCCTGTTTGTTGAGCAACTTGTTATAAAAATAAGATAGTGACTTGCAATTCAGTTTAATAAGCAGCTTCACTGTAGTTACAACTTTGCATATCCTACGGAAGGTAAAGGGCTACAGCTTCTACCATCAAGGATATACTACTGTCTGCCCATCAGAAATGAACTTATGTCCATAAACCACATTAAATAAAATGCATTAACAACGTGGTTCATGGAGCAAGCAATACACTAGAATAATGCTGTATACTATTGTTCACTGGTCCCTACTTCACAAAGACAGAAATATGGTAGCTTCATTCTTTTCGCCTTTTCCTCAGTGTGAGCATCAAGATTGACATTTATAAATATCAAGCCATGCTAGACTGTTTCAGAAACAACACCCATAGCTCAGAAGATATCCCCTTCAAATCTACAGTTGAGAAGTACCCATTTACAGCATCAGCATATTTATGGTAGGTAATCCTTAAAAAAAAAAATTTTTTTTTTAACAAAGTGCAAAGAAGCACACTTGCTGAAAGCAAGGATATAAAATACAATTTTAATGGGCAACTGTCACTGACTACTCTTGCTGACTATGGAGATATGGCTCCCAGTACTCATTAGTGTCCTGCCAGATAATTAAACGGATTACTCAAAAAAAACTGTTGACAATTAATCACTCATAAGACTACTATTTTAATAAACAGGTTTCTGGCTCCATTAGCTGATTTATTGAGTTCCTTTCAAATAATCAGTTCAGTCCAGCTGTTTGTGCAAAGTTACTGGTCAACATAAAGCTTACACAAAAACTGCCAGTCAGCAGGAGAATAAGTTTGTAACACTCGCCACAATTATCTACAGGGACAAGTATTCTCAACACTTCAATGGCTTTCCAGAGTCCATATTCATTATTACTGGGTACTACTGCTTTGACAGAAGTATCTTTTTGTCACCCCATCAACCCTACTTGATGTTATTATAGTTCAAGTTACATTTGTGCTTTTAGTAACTCCAACTATCAAAACAGTATTATTTATCTTGGGCTCCACCTGCCGGCCTCAAAAAAAGCATAAGTGTTTATAGGTCCTATATAGGTCCCATTTTTTTTTTTTTAATTCAGACAGAAGTGTTTAAGCCAGCTAAACCAGAGCTACCTCTTAAAATAGCAGCAATACTTAATTGGCAAAGGAAGCAACCAATGTATTTTGGTATCTTCTTCTATCAAAGCTGACATTGCATTTGCAACACCTGTTGTGGTTTTATACCCAGGCTGGATGTTAGCCTTAAAATTCTTAAATAAAAACATATTGTAAGTCAGACTCAAATTTGGATATTCTGAAATTTAAGACAATTAACAAACATTAAGAGGAGAGAAAAACTGAAAAGGGGCTGTCATAGGCATGATAGGCACATAAACATTTAATCAAAAAGTCTTTATACAGGTGTCATTCTTTCAAGCTCATATTCACATAAAAGAGGGTGCTGCAACTATGGGTATGAGAGGAGCATATTGCACAGAGCTGCCATTACAAAGCAGATGGGCTCAACTCAGCCTTCTCGTCATTCAGTGATAGTCTGCCACAGCTCAAGGGGAGAAGATGAAGATTAGGTCAGCACTGGCTTCCACACTTGCAACTTAATCCTATAGCAAGTCCAAAGCTTGATCAAAAGCTGACTTTCTAGCTCCATTTCAGCAGAAAATGTGTCTTCAGAACTATTCTTAGAGGTGCAGGAGGCAGCTTAGTTTAAAAAAAAAAAAAAAAAAGAAATTAAAATAAAAAATGGTAAGTTGTAGCACAACACATGCCTTCTGGTTTTCTTTTTTGAAGACAATACAAGCCAGAATATACATACTGTGCAACCTGACAAGGTCTGCAGAATGGGGGGAAAAAACCTCCACTCTAAGGCGGGACAGTGAAGACTTACTGCTCTCTGGATAATGAGCTTTTATAAAATCTAGTTGGATTATTCCCAGTCATCAAGACAACAGTTACCAAGGATTAAATGACAGCAACAATCTCCTATTTCTGTAATATGTTTCTAGTTTGGTAATTTACACCAAATACACACAAACCAGCTTGACAAGAATTACAAACATCATGTAATTAAGCGTTCTGCTCCAAACAGCACTGCTGATTCGGAAATGACATTAAAGTAACTAACATTCTTATTCTGTGCTACTGTACTCTGCTAGACAGTACAGTGTGTTGTTTTGCTCATTTTAACGATCTGTTAAAAGCCTGAGTGGATACATGCCAGCATAAGGTAGCATTTAGAGGGACTATCGAGAGACCAAAGCATGATAGATTGTGTATGTTCTTTTCATAGGGTTCTACCATCATTTGGTTGATTAGAAGCAATCAGTTCACAATTTGGCATAAAACCATTTTACCCTTAAGAACTCCCAGTAGCAGCCTTTGAAAAATGAAGCCATTTGTTATGTATTTTGTTTTCACAAATGAAGCATCATAAATAACATCTGTCAGTTCCCACAGTGATCTCAATTGCTTCTCAAATGATCCAAAACTGTTGTTTAGGTGCCATCTAAGAGACAGCTAAAGATCATCAGTCACTGGATTCTGATAGTTTTATGTACCACAACAATAACTCGTGGTCAGCAGTCTAAAACTATTTTACTGCTTCTTTTTAATTTTTCCAAAGGAAACTGAGCACTACACTCCTCAAATGCCCATAAAAGAATAAAATTGGATGCATTTTCTTTCAATAGTGGAATGATTTTTTTTTTATATATATATATAAACTGAACTTGAAAATCATGGAAAATAAGAGATGCTTGATTCGTTTTTAAAAGTAATCTACTTTTTTTTTTCTCCACTTAAAAGCATCTCGCAGTTGTATTTCTTAAAGCCTTTTAGTGGCTTGCTTTTGCACTTCCCTCGTGTAGCACGTGCTCCTGCGTAGTAATACTAATCATTAAAGATAAAGATGAGGTGGAATAGATGGATCCACAATCTGATGCCTTTCAGGCTGCTCTGTATAGACAATTAGTAACTAACCTAGGATTTGTAACCCTACCAAGGCAAAGGGTCAGTCTTCACTGCAAGAGACAGCAATGCAAGATAGAACACTTATGAAAACACAGAAAGTAACATAAGGTGCATGCTGTTCCCAAGTTTAACGAGTTAATTTTATTTTCAGCTCCTCAATTTCTCTCTCTGGCATCTTACTAGATTACATCCACTGTACAGCTCCCAAGAGAAAAAAAAAGGCCAGTAAACATCACATTTCACCACACTGTATTTTAAAAAACATTTGCCAGGCATGGAATAAGACAGCCTTTCCCCTAGTTTCTCAAGAGTGCTAGCTTCTCCTCTGCCACAGATCTGCAGACCCAGAGTCTTTTGCTAGACTTCTTCCTCTTTTTAGGCAAAGACTGTTATTTTTAGCTTTCACAATTCTTAGGTTTTCTTCAGTGAGGAACCAGTTAGGAATCCTGTTTTGGGGAAAGAAAATCTGTTTTCCACTTCTTATTCATAGGAAGTATATGTTACAAGTAACTGGAAGAAACACTTAGTGGAAGATTCATATATACTTGCTGTGTTCTTACGCGCTTCCCTAGAGATGTTCCTCTAGATGCTCCCAGAGTAATACCAGTCTATATGGACCTTTGACCTGACCCAGTATGGCTGGTCTTATATTCCTACGCTTAACTTACTGGGACAGAAGGGCTGCAATCAACACTTATGTAAGTGTGTTTTCACTCCCACTCTTCCCACCTCAGCTACAATAACTCTGCACTTACTACCTACCCTGAACAAAACTTAGAGGGGCCATGGGGTGATAGGCAGCCTACAAACTTGCAAGGAAGGGACCAAGAGAAAAACACAAACCCACAGCAGTTAAGCAGACAAAAGAAGTCCTGCAAGTTATCCTTATGTAAGAAAAAAACACATTCATTTCTTTCAAAATAGCAGATACAAAATGAACATTGCAACACAAGAAGAGCTTCAAAGCTTTTTGCTTTGAGTTCAAATAATCTTTCTAGGAGACATAAGGCAAGGACAACAGAATTTTGTTAGTTCTGCTGTTAACAAAGTTATTTATTTAATTGTAATTTTAATATGCTCTTTAAAAAAGCATCCCCATAAAAGTAATTTGGCTGATCATTATCAGCATTCAGCAGGTTCACTTAGAATTGCTCTCACAAGAGCAACACCACTGTCTAGGCCTACCTACTTTACTGCAGGTATGTTATATGTCTGGTTGTGTCCACTTTCAAGAATATAGTTGCTATGATGGTAAACATCCTATTACTGAGTCTGGAACAAGTGTAAGTAGTTAACAAGAGAGGTGCATAACTGCACTGAAGCATTGCCAAACATACCAAAACAATTACTGTGAAAAATACCAGCCCACCCTTCAGCCACTTCATTTAAAATATTAACTAATTACAATGAAAATAGATAGCAAGTTGGCTTCAGTTAGAGCCGAGATACTTGAATCACTGTATAGCCAGGATCAATTCGGTCAAACTGCTCCTCAGAACTGTGGAAAGTCTGAAAACAACTCAACTAAAAAAATTATCGAATTCAACTTAAAAAAAAATAAATCAAGTTTCTGTATATTTTGACTTCTAAAACCAGTACAATACACAGCGGAGAGTGAGCTAGTAATCAAGTGCACTTCAGAGCAGCATGTGCCCTGTTGACCTCATGTAATCACAAAAGAAATCTCTCAACCCCCCCCAGTGTTTTCAATACCTACAAACTGAAACATCAGTAGTTTTCAGTGCCTTTCTGTGACTATTTCTTGACAAACCGCCATCAAAGGGTCACCATACGTTAAAAAAATTACTTTATCAAACTGTTGCATGCGACACAAGCACCAACCAGCCGCCACCAGCGCAAGAACGATATGCCATCACACAACCAAAGAACAAGCGTTGGTTGACACTTTAGAACAGCCCCGTAGCTGCCATCGGATAAATTTAGGACAAGAAGTTTCTTCAGCGAGAGGCGCTCAGGACCTTCCCGCCACTCGCTGTGAGGGGAGGCGGTCACCGCTGCCGCGGAGCGCCGGGGCCCTGGCGCTCGGCCGGGAGGGGCCCGCCGCCCCCTGAAGCGCACACAGCCCCCCACCCCTCAAACCAGGAGCCCGTTAGCTCCCAGCCAGGCTGCGCCGGGGGCTGGGGCTCCCCACTCCTGACAGGTGAAGCGACTCAAAGCCATTTCTGAGGCTGGCCCCCGCCCTTCCCACCCAAGCGCGAACCGGGAGGGGCGCCGGCCCGAGGTGACTCCGCCAGGACCGAGCGGGAGAAGAAGGGGTCCGAGGGGTCCGGGCTGTCCGACCCCCCCAGCCCCCTCCGAGGGAAGAGCTCCGCACTCACCCAGCGCGGACACCAGCCCGTCCCCACCGCACCGCTTCCGCGAGAGCAGCCAGTTCAAAACAACGCCCGCCCTTATTGGCTGCGAGCTCCCCGCCCTCCGGCGCGCTATTGGGAGACGGATCCCCAGCCTCTTCTCCTCAAGCTGTCATTGGCTGGCTCGCACACAGGTGCCCGGTGGGCACCGCCCCCTCCCAGTCCCGTCGTCCCCGCCCCGGGCGTCATGAGAGGAGCCGTGGCCTCCTGCTCCTCGCCCGGCCCTGCGGCTTGAGGAGGACTCTGGCCGTGGGGTGTTTCGAGAGGAGGCGGTACAGGGTGCTCGAGGCACGTCACCTTCAACACAGCCCGGTACCCACGTCCGCCATAGCGCATTGAAGAAGTCATCTGTGGTATTGCGTGGTACATGGGCTGCTTCTTGGCCGCCTCAGCCTGTTTCCAGTATATTTTGTTTCAAGGTATGAAATAATAACGTCAAAGGCCTGATGTGAGCTTCAAAGGGCTCGTAACTCTGAGGACTGATACCCCCAGGACCGGGTTGCTGACAGTCTCAGTGAGTTTGGATGTAACTACTTACCCACTTCCAGAATGAGGTCACTGTGTGGGACACATGTTAACGTGACTACCTTCAGGGGAGACTCCGCTGACAGAAAGACCCCAAAGTCATTGAGCCCTGAGCTTGCAATGGTATAAATTCAGGCCAGGACAGCTTTCCTGAGGATTGAGGAAAACACAAGTGACAAAGTCAAATTTGCTTTCAGCTATTAAGCACAGCATGATCAGAACTGATAATTAAACCTTTAGTAATTTTACTTAGATCTGCAGGTTTAGGCTGGGATTGGATCTGTGCCACCTTTTTGTCCTTTCATACCGAAATACTAACTTGTGGGTTTTTCAAATAAGATTTAAAACTTTATTTCTGATTTTTTTCACAGGTGGCAATAGAGGGTTTCAGTGGAGCCTGTAAATTAAAAATGTTTTATGGTGAAGCCTCTAAGGGGAGACCACAAAAGCTTTGACTGCTCTTCTAGGTTCTAACACTGATAAACACAGTACACATAAGATACAGAACACTAATGAAAAGAACTCCCAGGGGTATATGAGTGTGTAATGTGGCTTGCGAGGCAAAACCTTTCATCCTGGATGCAGAAAACCTGAAGTCAATTGTTAGCTTTACCACTGGTCTGGCATATGACATTGAGCAAGTTCATCTCAATACTTTCTTTCTCCATCAACAACAACGGGGTGATAGCATTGACCTTTGCAAGGTCTTTTGAGATCTACTGATGAAAACTGCTGGGTGAGTATATTATCACCGTTATTTGTACTATTGCTTTTGAAACACAATAATAGATTGTAGTTATTACCTACATATATCAACCTTGATACATATAAACCTAAAATATATTTATGTTTTCAGGTATAGAGTTATTTAAAACAGTTATCTGATTAATAAGTAGACAAATTATACAAATCTCTTCATCTCCATTACGTTAAAATTGGTAAAATGCAAGCACATTAAATATAATTTGTTCTTTGCTGTCACTCTGTTTCTCAAAGTATAGACTCATCACTGTGACCAAAGATTATTTAGCTTCTATGCTTGATGCCCATTAAAAATCTTCAGATGATAGGTCTGCATACCTTCAGCAGGACCTAACGTCCGTGGGAAGAAGAAAAGGAAAACTGTCCATAGGCCTAAAACTTAATGGTGTTAGTTTTTACTAATTTTTAATTTTTTCATTCTTTTTAATACGTATGGGAAGTTAGAATAACTTCAGAGTAATTTAAAAAATATTTTTTAGGAGGCTTCACAAAAACATCCGCTCCAAGGATTCGTGAATACTGGATTTGGTGGCCATTCAGACTCTTCCTCCTATTTCTTGTGTCTACCTTTTGTTCTGCCTATACCAGCTCAGTTATTGTTGTCCCTTTTAGACCCTGCCCTAAGAGATCTGTGCATAGCTCCCATTGTTTTTCAAACTCGAATAGTCTGATCTCAAGTAGGCAGTGATTCTGTATCCACTTTAAGTATCTTTAACGAAGAGAGTGGTACTGGCTGTCAGCGCAGAACCTCTATCGGAGAAAGCTAAAACCCAAGCAGCTTAGTGAAAAACTCGTAGAATTATTCTCCTGAGTTAGTCTGAAAAACTAAAAGAGAAATAGTCCTGACATTTATTTAAAAACTTTGTTCTATCTTTTAAGTGCTGGAATGCGTGTTGTTTGGAATGCATAAAGCACACCTTGAATGGATTAAATATCTTTTCCCTGAGAGCTCTCAAAAAGTAGTTGCTAAAGAGGAGACATCAGTGATGCAGAGAGAGTCTTCCAGAGATCGGTTCTTGCTCTGATCCTATTTGATATCTCTATCAATTGTCTAGATGATGTAAGATCTTTACTAGTAAAATCTGTAGCTTAGTAGACTATCAGTGGATAATTCACATGACTGATTAGTTATAAAATCATCTGATGTGCCCAATTAAAACATCCCAGTCCAATAAAATGCATTTTTTAATGTCAGAAAATGTTAGCAAACACATCTGGAAATAAAGAATGCAGGGATGGAGGCTAGCTTGGCAAAAAGTACTTCAGAAAAGAATTTAGCTGTTACTATCTATAAAGGTTTCAACATGACCTCTCAGGGTAATATGGTGGTAAACTGGACTAATGTAATCCTAGAATGTATAAAATACAGAATATATAGGGGAGACAGGGGAGCGATACTGCCTTTGTCCACAGCACTAGTTACACTGGAACACTGCACCATTTCTGGCACCCACGGTTAGGGAGGAGGGGAAAAACACTAGGAATAATGCAGAGGAACGTAAAAATGATGAAGGGGATAGATAACAAGATATAAATAGGGGTGTAAGAAGCTCAACCTATTCAGCTAGTCAAAGAGAAGGCTGAGAGGTGACTCGATGGCAGCACACAAGACCACTGCAAACGGCAAAAAGGTCAAGTTAGACAAATCCACAGGGAACACGTGCCAGCATTACCTGGCTGCATTGCACCTGACGAGCCCTCTGTCACAGCACGCGTTTCAGACATTAGTTGGGCCCGGAATCTCCCCGTCTACAGCTGTGAAAAGTACGACTGAGCCTCCCCAGGAGCAGAAAGCCTTTAGCCGTACTGCAGGTCGGTGGGCTTAGCGCTGCAGGCCGCGTAGCGCGGTTTCGCCGTACCCATCCAGTGAGGTGACATAATGGTCGCTGCTGCTGCTGCTGCTGCTCCTGCCGAAAGCACATCGTCAGCGCTCCGCTCCCGCCCCGCTCTCTGCCGTGCGGGCAGCCCCGTCCCCGCTCTCGCAGCGGGAGCCACCTCTCGCCGGGCTGCGGCGGCTCCTCCCGCCG